TGCGGCTGCACTCCGGGTAGGTGTAGTGGACTTGGTAACACACCACCATAAGTATGATAGTCTTCGTCCTCCTCGTCGTAATCCATAAAATCTCGCTCGCCATAAAGTTCTTGTGATCGCAGTTGATTCTCATCACCACTGCCGTCATAGTAATAACTAAATCGATCTTCACCGCGTAGTCCGTTTACCACTTGCCAAACAAACGATCCATCTTCCATCTCCAAAACCTCCACAAGTTGTTGATCTGCTAACAAATGTTCATCTTTCATCGGCATCGTGAAACTAGCTGCCTCAGGTGTTAAATCATCTTCGTCAAATTCTTTATCACGAATGATGCTCCATTGTGATGAATCTATGGCACCGGTTTTTCGTTTGACATCCCTATTCTCCTCACCTTCATCATCCGCGCCTTCCTGATCGGAATAATTATAGTAATCAAACAAACTTTCCCCGTAAGAACTGTGAACGCTTTTTCCGCCCACAGATTTTCGGTATTTACTTGATGTTGAGTGTGCCGAGATGGTGCTCGATCTGCTTGCGCGTTTTGACGCTACGCTTAGTCGGTGTGGTAAGGGTATAGGTGGTATTGGTATTCCATATGGAGGTTCTATCACGGACTCTCGTATGCTCAGTGATGGAATTGGTGTTGGTGGCCGACTCAAAGAAGTTCTTGCTGACGGAACGCTTAATTGATTACTTGAGTCGCTTGACTTCCTTACGTTCTTGGATTCAACTATTCCAATAGAATCATTAGTTGCATCGATCGAATCACTCGATCTATTCGTTGAGACATTGGCATCGTCAGGATTCCTATGCACCGATGATCGGTTTTCGATGGAATGATCAATGTTATTGTTACTATTATTATTATTATTATTATTATTATTATTATTGTTGTTGTTGTTGTTGTTGTTGTTGTTGTTACTACTACTACTGCTACTACTACTACTACTATTATTATTATTATTGTTGTTGTTGTATTTATTGTTTTTGTTTTTGTTATTGTTGCTGGTGCGTTTTCTGGACAACCAATTTCGTCCGCCCGACCCGAGGCGAAAGATGCCTTCGAACTTCGTTTTTGTTGACTTAAGATTTACAATTTTGGTAGTGGGTGGAGAAGGAGTGTCGGCACTTGAGGTTTCGACTTCAGGTAATGGTGGAAGATTTGGTTTCGTTATTATGATGGTTCGACGTACGACCTTGTTCTTTTGTTTCCTTGGTGTGACGGCGGTAGATCCATTCTGATTCTCTACTGTCTCCTCGGTAATCGAGGTGCGTAATGAGGGCACCTGTAAAAGATTGATATCGCTACTTTTGCTATTTCTACTGCTGCGACTGCTTCTATTGCTATTATTATTATTATTATTATTATTAAAGAGTGACATGAATCGTGATGACGAGGAGGTTCTGGAATCCCTAGAGTCCCTTCGTTCATCACTACCCGAAGTACTACTACTTGCTATAGAACCATTTCGGTTCAAGGATATCGTTCGATTGAGCAATTGTCGATTCTTTTCGTTTGAATTTCTCAGTGGATTGCGCGGTAATATTGGTGGTGGTGAACTTGAGGTTGTACTTACAGGGCTGTATGAAGAAAGGGGACTATTTGGATTACTTTCTGAACCCGTTATTCCCCATCGGCTGTCGCTATTTGCAGATTGCGCCGGTGGCGACTGCAAAGACTGCGTTGATTCGGTTGGTATGTCGACTTTAAGTTTGGGTGTGGGAATTCGTGGATTATCCGACGGGCGTGCCGAATTCAATTGGCCAATTTCTTCCTCTCGAATTTCGCTCATGAGAGGATCTCGGGACGATTTCTTGGTCGTGGAGGAAGGATCTGAGGCCGATATTGAATCCTGACGAGATATATATTGATCTTTCTTTTTACTCGAATAACTGGTCACACTCTCCATGTGTCTTTTCAAAGCATCAATATCATACATCGGTTGACGTTCGTCCGCAACTTTCCTTGGTTTGGCCATTTTGGATACGGAGTCCTCAGTAAGGTCTGATTCGCTCGCCGTATTCCAATAACCACCGGTTATGGAAATATTTTCCTCGGAAGAAGTGGAGAAATTGTGTATACTATTTTGAACGCTACCTTCGTCACCGTATCCCAAATTTCGCGTGGCTTTGTCGTCGGTGAAAAGTGTTAAATTATTACGAATGTCTCGTCGAAGAGATTCGTTCGGCCTATGTTCTCGGGTGCTGAATGCTCGCCGTTTCACAAATCCCGTCCCTTTATTTTCTTTGATGTATAATTGACTCAAATCCTCCTCTGAAACAAACTTTTTTGGTAATTTCTTTACGGAAGAATTTGGCGATAACCCGTCGCCATTTTTTGACCTCCTCCCAAAAACGCTTCCCCTATTTTCTTCATTGTCATTGGTGAACACATCTTTGATCCTTCTCAACGATTTTCCAATGCCACTTTCATTCTCTCGCAAAGAAAACTTCCTACGGAACTTATCACTCTTATCATCCTCGTTTCCTAAGGTCACTATGGGAACGGATTTAACGTTTGACGAAGAGGAAATCAATTTAGGACCTGAAATGGTCTTTGCAGAAAAAATCTTTTGTTTTGAACGTTTGGACAAAGGATTTTTTGATGTCAGATTAGGATTGTTGTGACCGGAATTCTGAGCTCGTCTTATGGCCATCACCTGATGAGCAATGTCGGATTGTCCCGATGCTATTAGGGTATCGGTTAGGGACAATGGCGGCGGTTGAGGTTTTGGCGGCGCCACGGCATTGCGTAACGGAAGCTTGACCTGCGATTCGATTACCACATTCACGATCTGAGCCCCGGAGGAAGATGTGCTAAATTGACTGACAGTTGTCCCAGATCCTGAGGACTCTCTGAAACCTTGCACATCATAATCACCATAATGATGAGACAAACCTGGGTAAACACTGCTGGAGGGTTTAAGGGAATCGTCATCCGCCTCATAATCGACGTCATAATGTTTATCCGGTGTCGAAGGTGAGCCGCTGTTAAAAGAAGTTCCAAAGGTACCACCACTACTGTTGCTATTTCTTAGATTCATCACGCGCGACGGTGAATAGATTGTTGATGGCGAAGAGGGGGAATTACGATTGGCGGAATGCAAGGAAGGTAGTGATTTTGAGTGAATCAGTTGCCTGGTGGCCATTGGAGACAAGAGTGACCGATCACCGGAGACCGAGTTTGACACATCATCGATAGTTGTGGTTTGTTGTGGTGAAGGAGGTTCTGGTGTGAAATTGAAGGTGAGCTGTGAAGAGTTTTCGTCATCAATCAAAGTCGATTCGACCAATGACTGTAATGAGAGATTTCTCAATCCGTCTGACAATTTATCCAGCGGGGAACGAGGGGAAGGTGGAGGGTAGGTACCATCGCCGTCACCATTGGTAAGAAATTTTGTCAATGAAGCACGCGATGGTGTGTTTGATTTGTCACCATCATAATTAGGATCTTTGAGAGTTTGATTCAAATAATCGCCGGATAGTCGAAGTGAGGGAAGGGGAGTATACTTTGCCAGATTATCCGATATCGATATTCGGTTACCGGAATTATCGTCGAGTTCATTAACGCGACTTTCTACATTCGACATTGTCGACGGATTCGTGAAGGTGTCGCCTTTTTGATCATCATTGTCATCATTATTGCCATCAATTTCACCATCGTTATTTACAATTCGGACATTCGATTCATTGGCACTCTTAATTACGTATGATGGTTGTGAAGAGGTTAACGGTTGCGAAGAATCATGCCGGGAAGATCGCTTTGAATATGGTTGATATATAACACTAGAAGTTATGGTAGCACCATAGAATTTTCTGGCGCTAGATATTTCTTGAACATTGTTGCTATCATTGATCATAAGAGAATTTGGGAGTGACGTGTGTACGGAAGTAGAAGTTGAGGATAAGGAAGACAAGGAGTTGGACGTTGAAACATCGTCGTCGAAAATGTTGCTCGACAGCGATTGACCTTTAATGGGAAATTAACATGAGATACACTTCACGCATGTGCATGCGCCTAGAATTTTAATGACTCACCTGAATTTGTGTTAGAACTGCCATTCGATGATTGCTTCCGCGAGACGCCCACCGCAATACTATTATTATTAATGCCATCAGCCACTATCGGATTATCGTCACCACCTTTGATCACCGCCGTCCCAGTGTCAGCGATCGAAACATTTTCAGCAATAATATTTTTAACCACACTATTATTAGCGGGGGAGGCGATTTCACCTTTGCGTAAAACGCTAAACCTTTTTGTTAGCTGAGGTAGGATGAGTGAAGTTCGAAAGTCAGCGGGAAGTTCAGTGTAAGACGTACTCGCAAGGGGAGACGGTTGAGTACCATCACCTTCTGTATTCTCGTTCAACTGGTTTGGACGTTGTTTCTTCAAATCCGCCTTTTTTCTGAAACGATGCATTTGAAAGGTGTGAAGAGTATATGTGCGTATAGATATGTGCGTACGTGCAAAGGTCAGAAATAAACTACAGCATGTATTACTCGCACGAAAGAGATTAGCCAAAGTAACACTAAAAAAGAAAGAATTATGGCAGGAAAGAAAGAAAGAGAGGCGGACTGTAGGTGGTTGGGGGTGATAAAATTTTCCTTAATTTTATATACAAAGATCTATGCATGAAAAGTTAATTAACCTATTTTGTATAATCAAGAAAGGATATACAGCAGCAGTTGGGATTTTGGATCTGTAGATGGATCGATGTGAACAAACTAAAAGGAAACCGAGGATGATAATCTTTGTCAACCTGTCGAGAAATAAAATCGACGGCACCAAACTTTTTTTTTTTTCTTTCTTTTGATCAAAAAAGAAGAAATTAAACTAGAGGAAAAAAAAAGAGTCTATCTATGTATTACTAATGCTTATATTGTATCTAGGACGGTATTACTGTTTTACTGCATCCTTTGTATCTTTGTACACTACAACTCTACATGCCACCTAGAATTTTTTTGAGTAAACGTTAGTAAAAACCGTTACTTAATGATAAGGAGTTTTCCTACCTTGGAATCCCCCTGGTGATAATTCATAATATGCGCCGTGTGACATATACCACGTCTACTCGACTGCGCACTTGGGTCTATTTCAAGTTAAGTGGGGTGAGAAAGGAAAAGGAGAACAAGAATAGAAATAGCAAAGTACAACAAAGAAAATTCACCAATGAATTGCGTACGTATGTATATATTGGTCGACAACCTGAAACTGGAAATGCCAAAGCATCACAAACGGCACGTATTCCCTTAACAAAGCACCAGAGGACAAAATTTAATTATTACTCTGGGAAAACACAATTGCATATCATATTCGAGCACGCTCGATCACCGAACACAAGTCTCGATAGACGGGCTTGGCAATCTTATTGTAAAAAAAATTTATATGGAATTGAGAAGAGAGATGCATGTTACACCGCAAGACCTACGTTAATTCATATAAATACTAATTTATTTAACGAATGCAAATAGGTTTCAGATAGCAGCACACCTTGAAAGAGCACGCTCACACTTGCATTCGAATTTGTAAATTTCATCTGGCACAAACGAATAATTGAATTGTTTGTGTACACTGCGAATTTGTTTACTTTTATTATTTTTTTTTTTTTTGCTTAAAAAAAGCTCTACAGGGTAATAATCTTATCATTCGGATAATAACTTTGTTTGACAAATTTAATATTTGATTAGTTCCTCTATTTAAAAAATAAGCTTCTCACCGTCTATTTAAAACTAAGATAAAATCTGTTTGGATCAACCTTTCTAATTTTTGTTTATGATATCTCATATAACGGTATTAAAAATTACCTATTAATTGTTTTATTATTATTATTATTATTATTATTATTATTATTATTTATTTAACCCGCAATCATGCCGATACGGTTTGTCTTTACCTCTATTAATTGTGTGTACCAGAATTAAATTTTTATATATAGTAATTTGATAAAATTAAATATTACTGATATTTAAATTATACGATTAATATGTTAATATTATTGCAATAAACCATTTTTCAAATCAATATCTATTAAAAGTTCTATTTGGGATTTTGAAATTTTCATAGTTAAGTATAAAGTATAATTAAAAAAACTTTAAATAATATACAGTATAAGTATAATTAAAATAATTTTTATTTTATAAAAGCAATCAAAATACTAAATATAATTTTTTAACTTTTAGCTTTAAATAATATACAGTATATAACATAAATTTTAAGATTACAATCTTAGAATTTGAAATTTTTTTTTATTATTTGCAATTATACTATAATTGTGTATCTTTATTAAGATACTGAAAAAATATCAAAATATTTTACAAACTATCATTAAGTGATTAATTCATTATTAGATATTATTAGTTAAAGGACTATACTACTCAAAAAATATAAGGAGTTCACTAAGTTAATTTAGATTAAACAAAATTAAATCGCAACTGGGTACTCTAAATTAAATTTAAGGAATAATATTATACTTTTCCAATAGTTTGATATCAAAATTTCCAAATTACTAGAATTATTATCAACAGTATATCATTGTTGATTATTTTGAAAAACAATAAATTATTAAAACAATAGGAAAAAAGAAAAAAATAATAATTTAAAACACCTTCAAATAATTTTTTTATCTATTCAATAGTCTCTTTTCAAAAGAGGTTTATCTAATTAACATATTCTTCATATTTGTTATGAATTTTAAAAAGCATTTTTTCTTTATTATCATCTATAGTATTATAACTAAATTTATTATTTAAGTAAGTACTGGATTAAAATATCTTAAAAAAATAAAAAATCTTAATTTTTTTTTCTTAAAAAAATCTTTTTATTATTTAAAAAACTTAGATAAGAAAGAAGATTAGATTATTTGAATTATTACTTATAAAATCTTTTTATATTATGATTATTTTATTTAAAAACTTGCTTAGTTAAAGATAAATGTCTTCTAAAACTTTTTTTTTGTATTATCACCAAAGTTATTTAATTATATAAATATGATCAATAAAAGTTTATTTACTTTTTATAAATTAATATATTTTATATTAATCAATCATCTGTAATAAGAATTTATATTATCTAAAATTCAAAATTAAATTGAGATAGACAAAATTCTTTAAAAAATCATAAAAGTAAAAACTCTAAAAGAATCAAAACAATCCAAAAGAAAAAAATAAATTTTTAATTATACAAAATCTTTTATTTTAAAGATTAAAAAAGCTTTTAAGTATTTTACAATTAGTTTTTTTTTCTTTGAAAACTTTTTTGCCATTAATATCAAAAGTATTACTTGATTTTTTTTTGATTACTAAAAGTTAAGTTTTTGAGTAAAAAAATTTGTAAACAAACAAAAAATAAATAAAAATGACTTTTGAAGTTATAATTCAAGTTGTTTTAAGGAAATATTAGGATTTTATTAATAAAGAAATATAAAAACTCCTTGTAAATATTTTTTTTATATATAATCAGAGAATTAACAAAAAGAAATTTTGAGAATTTGAAAAATTTCTATTTATTTTCAAGATAATAATAATAATTATTATTTTTTATTTAATTCTTTATTAGATTAGATATATATATGATAGCTTACAAAAGTTTTGTACTATTAAAAATTTAAATATCCAATCTTATTAATTAATAATAATTAATATTTAAAAATAATCAATTAAAATTAAAATTGATAATTTATAAAATATATATTTTTTATTTATTTTAATTATATTCTTAATTTTTTTAAAAACTAAAAACAAAATTATTGAATTATTTTAAAAATATAAAATAGTAAAATAATATAATATAAATTAAAATTAGATTTTATTATAAAGATAAAAATCAAATTATAATATTTTGATTTATAAAAATATTTGAAGCTAAAATATTCTATTTATAAAGATGAAATAGATAAAAAAACAAATATATAGTATATATATATAATTTAAATAAAATATTTTACAAAATAATTACTAAATATCTATTTAAAGATTATAAAAACTATATAATATCTAATATGTCTTATATTAAAAAATATATTATACCAAGTAGACCTGTAGATCAATAATGCAGTAAGTATGCTCCCAGGTCACCATTCGTAAGTTACTGGTTCAATCTCACTTCAGAATAATATTTGCATTATAGATTCCATTGTATAAAAATTTATATTAATTAGTCACATGCATACTTGAACATAAACAACCTATAGAAACTCAATGTCTGACTACAGTATCATAAATCAGGTCATATAGGTCCTGATCAGTTTTAGTACTAGGAAATAAGTTCCAACATCTTGTCACTTAAAATATGCGCAGACATCAAGAATGTCAAAAAAGATAATGATAAGACTTAGGAACCTATCGGTCTCATATGAAATCTACATCTTTTCTAAAACTCCAATTTCATGAAAGGTTTGGGAGACTTTGATTACATGTACCAACTAAAAATATAAGGATCAGACACATACTGGAAAATCTTTGATCGCTATCACCAACAGTTACCAGAGATTTGATCTCGTAGGCTGCCAATGAGAAGTGATAAAGTTGAATAGTCATGATGGGATATCTGTAGGGGCTAATGTATTTGAAAGAGATCAATAGCTTCATGTAATAATTAAGGAAAGCTCTTGCAAGGCCATATTTAAAGAGTGGTTAAAAATGATTACTGAAAGATTACAGTTATCAATCTGACTTATCAATAACTACCGGGAGACTTGGGAAAACTACATGGAAACTGAAGAATATCAATGGACAACTAACTTTCTAAGAACTAAGTATAGTAAAAGAATATTAATTAAGAATAGAATACATATCCCCATAAGGTATAACATATCCCTATAAGGTATAACAGATCCCATGAAGTGAACAATTCCAAATAGTTCCTTGAATATAAAAAGAAATCCTCTGGTGGATTCTCAGAATATCAGGAGTGCCAAGGCACGACAGGGTAGCTAACAGAATGATATCCTTATCAAATAAAATCTAAGGATGATTTGAATATATTAGGATAGTATAGATCAAATATAAGAATTGCTCTTATAAAATAACTCTGTACAAATTTCTCAAATAACTGATCAATAAAAATCTAGTCAGTATGACTAGTTAAAACAAAACAAAACAAATCTATCAGTTAAATCTTTTTTTTGAGTACCTGTAATTAGGTTAGATTGTCAGTTTATTAATTAATTAAAAACATATGTATATTTTCATTTAAGTTATATAATATATATCTATAGCTAAACTATTATTCTAATTTAACTAATTTATTATAAACATAAAAGACTCCAAGTTTGATTTTAAGAATAATATTTTATTTTATAGTATCTTTGGATAAAAACTCTTCTAATCCATTATATTATTGTTAATAGATTGTTACTGCTATATGTTATACCAAACTATTGAAATACAGAAAACTACAAAAAGATGGGTTGAAAAAGAGAA